ATGTTACATCTTGATTATATTATTATTTACTTGTTGACAGTCTGGTCACTCAGAATGTTACATCTTGATTATATTATTATTTACTTAATGTATAGTCTGATCACTCAGAAAGTTACATCTTGGTTATTTTATTATTTACTTCATATACAGACTGTTATATCTATACATAGTTTATTACAGATAGTTAAATACTGTTTTTTGGATAGTGATATTTATAAATAGTATTGTTACGACAGCAAAAGTCTCGTAATGCTGCTAGTGCATTGACGCTGGTGGCGTGTGATGAGTTTCTCGAGTGATTGGGGAAGTCCGAGTGTGTTCGAGATGCCCTCTTCATTAGTATATAAGCCTGGCAGAGAAAGCCAGCATAGATAAATGAAGAGAGAGCAGTAGTTACTTTGAGTTCCGTGTAATGTATGATTCTATTAGTTTCGAGCTAGTGAGCCGTAAAGTGTGTGTGTTTCGCACTCATCCAGAGCAAAGTTATTGAGATTATGAATCACTGTGATTTATAGTGTGTATTATAAAAGTTGTTAAGTTTAAAGTGATGAGAAACGTACTGATTGTGGAACTACTGTGCACTAAAAGTTTGTATCGAGGAAGAATAAACTGGTTTAATCAAGAAAGGACTTGTATCGCTGAAGATCCTCAGAATGAATTTCTATCGGAAACAAACAAACAAACAAGCAGATACGTAACAGTATTAAACGTGTGTGTCTTTGTTAATGTAACAGAAAATATCTATTTTTTTAAGTGTTTGAATGCATGCCCAAGTTAGTCTTGACTTTTGTGTGGGATTGTGGATATATTTTTTCTATTAATAAGATCTGAGTGACAGGAAGGAAGAGTGCATAATAATGTCAACCACACTGTGTCTGCTATATCCAGTGCCAGTGAGCCCTTTCGCCCAATACTAGGGTTCTTTCTGGGCCAGCTGTAATACGACAGACACAGTAGTAGTTTAACAACTTTCATGATAACTGTTATGATGTAGTTAAGTTTGTGAAGTGTAGTATTTCATCAATTTTGTTTTTTGTCACAACACATCAGAATTAGGTTAAGGATTTTCAACACTTTATTTTTTACTTATTTTAACACCGTATGTTATTAATTTTTATTTTCTTGAATTAAACAACTCGTTATTCAGTGTATTAGAAGATATATCGCTATGAGGACGTACTGTGAAAGTGATGGCTGAAACTGTGGTCTTTGTACAAAATTACATCACTTTGGCATTTGCATCAAAACTGTTTGGTTTGATACAAAGTTACTTGTGGATTGGTAAGTGTATAACAGTGTTATCCATACCACTCAAAAAACACAAAACTTGAAACCTGATTAGTGGTAGAATATCCTCAGATCAAGTTTGCAAGTGATCATCAAAATGTATTTTTACTTGAGAAATGTTTCTGATCATGAGAGTCAAAATTGGTAAGCATATATCTGGTTTTGCAAGTACAGTATATGATAATCTATATTAATGTCACCATCCTAACAGGATCAAGAAATTTTTCTTAATGCAAAGATATGTGAACTGAATGATCTACATCAGGAGGAGACAAGCCTGCAGCAGCAAATATCTGACGGAAGAAACGGACTGCGCTCAATGTCTAAAACTGTCGAGATGACACAATTGGAAGTTATTCGGGTAAAGTAGTCTTTGTTTTTCAACTTAAACCACATTAAATCTCTGTAGTTTAATCACATTGATCCATATAGTTTGGTCTACAGGACAAGTTTTTTACCTGATACTTGACCAAATTAGGAAAAACGTTTCTGAATCAGAACATCCAGTGGCCATAATTTTAAGCTGAAACAAGTTTAAAATGTTTAAACATTATCACAAACACTGTAGTAGTACTAAAACCAACACCTGAAACAAGGTTTAAGTGTTGAAATCTATTAGCACATATAGATTATTAATTAAACTACAAAGTTCAAGTGTCACAACATCATTAGTACATATAGATTATTAATTAAACCAACACCTGAAACAAGGTTTGTCAAACCCTCATTAGCACATATATATTATTAGTTAAACTTTAAGCTGAAACAAGGTTTAAGTGTTGAAATCTATTAGCACATATAGATTATTAGTTAAACCAACACCTGAAACAAGGTTTGTCAAACCCTCATTAGCACATATATATTAATAGTTAAAACTTAAGCTGAAACAAGGTTTAAGTGTTGAAATCTATTAGCACATATAGATTATTAATTAAACCACAAAGTTCAAGTGTCACAACATCATTAGTACATATAGATTATTAGTTAAATCTTAAGCTGAAACAAGGTTCAAGTGTCAAACTTCATTAGATTATTAGTAAAACCAACACCTGAAACAATGTTTCAGTGTCGAAACCTCATTAGCATGTATAGATTATTAGTTAAACCAACACCTGAAACAAGGTTCAAGTGTCGAAACTTCATTAGCACATATAGATTATTAGTTAAACCAACACCTGAAACAAGGTTTGTGTCATAACGTTATAAACACATATAGATTCTTAGTAAAACCTTAAGCTGAAACAAGGTTTCAAGTTCTTTTATGGACCTAAATTGTTTCTAATACACCATAAAGATTGCTAAGTGTCAATGAAGTAGACACAATGTCATTAGGCTTTATACAATTTGAACTAATAATTTATTTTGTCTGAACATTCAGCTGATTATACATAATTGTTTGCAGACTAAGGAAAATATTGAACAGCTACATCAACAAGAACTCAAGATGAATAAAGCAATAGCTCAGTTTCAGACAGCCATCAAAGAAGGAAAACTTGAAGTAGTGGACACTGATTTTCTTAAGAACGAACCAGTAAACCTCACTGAAATGGATGGTCAACAGCTGATGAGTGAGGTCAGTCCTCATTCTTTCTACAAATTGACTTGATCTAAATCTGAAGTTGATAAGTATCATGCATTGAGCATTGATCTACCAACTGTTCTTTGGTAATTTATTTGTTCAATCTAACAGGTTTTTGTTTTGCTTCTTTCAGGAGGATCCTTTCGGTAAATTGGAAATCTCCTTTCATAACACCGAAGATCCCTTTGAAGTATTTGGCATTTCTTCTGCCAAAGAGGAATATTTGAACATTGATGGCACCAAAGAGAACATCAAAGATGTTTTTCTAGAATCATCAAATTCATTTGAAAAAGTGGATGATCCATTTAAACACAATGATTTTTTTGGCACCAACAATTTGCCTGTGGAGACAGATGATGCTGGCTTTGATCAATTTTCTAATGATCCATTTGACAGTGAGGATCCATTTAATGGTTTGTAAAATTTCAAAGTCTTGTAGCATATTGTATAATCTTGGTTTTTATAATATGGAGGCCCATGAGCTGAATGTGACATAGTGGTTAGTGTGCCTGGACTGTGGATCTACGGATTCATGGTGTACAGCCTGTTTCCCGAAAAACCTTATCTGCACTTTGGTGTGTTTGGCATGTTATAAGATTAACAATCAAATTCAACTATTTGGTCAGCTAAGAGCAGCCCAAGTATTGATCATGGGTGTAGTTGACTAGCTTTCTTCCCTCTACTCTTTTAGTTCAAAATGGATACGTTCAGATAGCCCTTGTTTAGTTTTGCATGAAAATTCTTAAACAAACAAACACTGAAAGCCCATAATATAGAAAGACATAGCAAAAAGAAGTTTGTCAACAGTTGCCTTCAATTTCAAAGATTTCATACATGTAAATGTAATTATTAGTTTTTTACATTGATGGAAGTAAATACAGGATAGTTTTATTGTCCATTATCAACATATTGAGATTTGTAATTCAAACATGAAATCTCAAAGTAATATTTCTCTCAATAGAAAATCCTTTCAGTAGCAGTAGAGTAGCAGCGGAAGCAATATCCTTGGATCCTTTTGGAGAAGATCCTTTTAAAGATGACTTTAGTAGACCCTCAGAAAAAGACAATGATAAGGTAAAAAACTTTTTTTTATCCTTAAATGTTATTTTGCTATAATGCTATCCTAAGTATATCTCATCTTCCAGTATTTAACTGCTGTTAGACTAGTGATTTTATGTTATTTATTAAAATAACCTAGAAAAAATAAGTTTTATAATGGTAAATACTTCTTTTTGGTGGATTAATCGAGCGTATTGCAGCCTAAGTCTTTATGAGCACTTTCTAGTATCAGAGTTTCTTATTTCTGGGGTGAAATAAGTAACAATGTGTAATATTTGACAAAGTTTGGCAAATAAGTTTTGTGATTCCCGAGTTTTTTTATTCATAAAAATATTTGGCAGTTTCAGTAGCTGATGTTTCAAGGCAAATTATTAAATACTGTTTACTGTTTTCATCTGTCCTGAAAATTCATGTACACCTTACTATCTAAATGCACATGTATTTCACTTCAACAGATGTAAATATGCTTTAGTAGACATTTTGTACAACAATGTATTAAAAAGCTTATCAATGTTTTTAAAAAGGGTCTGAATAACATTATAATTTATTTATTGATAGTATTAAGCATGGTAAGTTTAGCTCTAGCTAAACTAAAGCAAGAAACGTACACAAGCTGGTGTTTATTTATCTCTTGATCGAGTATAGGTCATACTGAATAAAGGATTAACTAATGTTAGGCCTAAGACAAGTGGGCATATAAGATTTCGATGTTTGTGGTTAGGATTCTTTTATATTATTCTAAATATCCTTAACTTAAAGAAGTACTGTTGCAATAAGGATACTAGTTTGACTGCAACTGTTTTGTGGGTCTCTGTTAGTACAAAGATATTATAACCAAAGGAAAAATAACATCTTTGATTCAAATGTCAATAAAGTGTTTTATTGCAAATTTGATCTGACAGTGCAAGAGCCAAAGAAAACTACTTTCCATTGTTAAACTATATTGTTACGTCTCCGTTTGTTAATTAACTTTCCGTAACTTCGTTTCGACGAAACTTTAGCGAGACAAGTCCTTACTTAATAAAACTGGTTATTCT